GCGGCTGGGAAGGAGGGTGGAACAGCCAGGCTTTGTTATCCCAGGGATTTGGTCACACACAAGAGCTGGTTTCTCGGTGCCTGGGAAGCTCCTTCCACAATGAGTTGGGATGAGCTGATCCAGTAACGCGGCTCCACGGCCTCCCGGGAGAGCGCTGGGACTGCTCCTGCGAGGGCGCACGTTTGTTTCCCTGTTCCCTCTGAAGGACTCGGCTCCTTGCGCAGAAGCGACGCGTGGCCTCGCTGGGACAGCGACCCGAAGCTGTGCAGGCAGCCACTGAGCCACGCACCAGGGCTGCAAACGCGGCAGGGACTGCTTGATCACGGCGGCGGCAGCCCTGCAGCATCACGCCAGGCTCCGGGCGCTGCAAACGCGGCTGCTCACACCGATTGCTGGAAAGAGCGGCCAGGATGCAGGGCTGAGCTAGTCCAGGCTGAGGTCCCACCCTGCATAACCCACTGAGTCCTCTTTTCCTTGCCAGCCAATACATAATTACCTTCCTAAGAAAGATGCACAAGTAGCGGAATAACCCCAGAGTCATTTGAGACCTCCGAGTACCATACACTGCGGTTAAAAAGATTTGACTGCATGAAATTCCATAGAGCTACAGTGTGGTTTTTTTTACCATTCTTCTAATAAGTCTCTGCATTATCAAATATATTTTTATTCTTTCTTTGGAGCAAGTTTTAAAATGTTAGGAATTATAAACAGAGGAATAAAAGCATTCCAGAATATTAATAACTTAACTGCAATGCACTACCTACCAATAGCACTGGGCATTTACAGACAACCGATGCCAACTGCCACTCTTGATTTTACACGTTGTTTTGGCATAGCACAGCAGCCCAGTCAACTCTGAACACATGCCATGCTGTATTTTTTAAGCCACTCTGCCTGTAACACAGGTCTGATCTCTTGAGATCCCCAGGCTCTTTTCCGAGAAGATGAATGCTCCCAACTCCCCGGCAGTCCTCCATGCTGTGCAGAACAAGGCCCCTGGAAAGCAAAGCTCACGAGGAGCACACCATGCTCTTCTCTATGGGGATTTAACATAAGCAGCACTTGGCAGATTATTTTAATTTTCCCTCTGAAAAAAATCTGATTAGCAACAGGCTTTTTCCCCGGGGTTTCGGTAAAGGGAAACCACAAACAATTACCAAAACACACTGATTAAAAATTTATCCTTCCAGACTTGTAAGTGCCAAAACACACAGTGAATTCTTAATTACCCCAGAAGGTCCGAGAGACCACTGCCGAAACTGGTTCCTGCTGCTCCAAAAATACAAGTCCCATCACTGAAACCATGGGAGAAGTTGGAATTCGAAGGCCTGGACCTGCAGCTGAGCAGCCTGCAGCACAACTGCCAGAGACTTTATAAACAGCCCCAACCTCCGGATACAACATCCAGTAGAGAGCACAGTAGAGGGGTTTTGTAAACACTCTTCATCCGCATGATATTGCTGAGCTAAAACTGAACTGACTACAGGGGTTAAACAATGCCAGTGACTTCCTACCCTTCCAACAGCGTCCATGCAACTCGCATGGCCATAGACAAATCCACCACTGTGAGTCCCAGCGAGATGGAGGAAGGAGCTCCGGCATCACTTGCAGAGCAGTCACACAATGATCTATTTGATTACTGAAGCACTTGGTTAAATTACTGTGGCTTGTTTCAGGAGGAGGCTGCCAAATACATTTTCAGTTTTTAATTTAGGGTTTCTCTCTTTTATGCTCCATTGTCTCTAATAGCCTCTTAGATGCTTGAAAATAAAGTTGATTTCCCTGCCAATTTAATCCTCTCTCCATGTGACAAATATCGTTATTCCCCCAGCTGCTTTCTCCCACACACACTGTTTTTATGCAGAATAAGCCAACAGGGCATTAATGCCTTTAGATCCTCTAACAGCATTATCAATGGGATCATCAAAATAGCCAGCAATTTGGGACAAGATTCCTGTTTAACCTGAGGTCTTCTTTCCACCACAGCTCTAAACGATTACACAGTCTTGCACAAAGTGTGGCTTATGTAAATCTGTCTGCCTATACAGATAGATCACACCTCTTTAAGTTCCTACTTGGCAGCAACTTTAACCAGGAGGCTAAGACAGCTCCGCTTTGGAAATAAAGAACTGCTGTTTTACTGACGTTAGGATACAAAAAGCCCCTTGGATAATAAAAATAGGTCCCACCACACGGCTGTACCCTTCGTGGCTTGCTCTTGGCCCATTTGCAGCTTCCTTCCTCCTGCCTTTCCTAATCCCTCCAGGAGCCCATCTCCAGGCGTCAGAAAAGGACAGAGAATGAAATCTTCTTGAAAAAGTTAACTGGATCTGGAACCCACCTACTTTCTACCTAGTGCCTGTTACCAGGAAAAAGGAAATGATGATATAAGAACTCGTTCAAACATTATTATCATGCAGAGAACACTGCCCTCGTCAACTATGGAGCACAGCTTGTTTTATTCCCATAAACATTTGCAGGTACTTCTTCATATAATTTTCCACCTGCCCTCACCTCTAGGATATATATAAAAACGCCTAAAAAATAAAATATAGCTGGGTCCAATGTCCCAGAGAGAAGCAGCTGCTCTGCAAAAAGGAGGACAAAGACAAAAATAACCTAGAAAGAAAGCAAGAGTGGGTAAGAGAGGCCAAAATGGCCAAAAATAAGCTTGAAGGCTAATGAAATCAGTTAAAATGGGGTTAGAAGTGCAGGTCTTCAAGCAGTGTTCATACTAGCAGTGTTCATACTACAGATCTTTCCCCAGAGTATTAAGCGATGGACATACGGGGTAAGGGAAGCAACAGGAAGTATGCACCAAGTAGAACTGAGCTGGTTTTTTAATTTAATCATTGTAATTCTGGCTGCACGAGGGCAGCAGGGAACATACTACATACATTTTATTTACACAGAGATGGGTGAATTAAGCTTTCTTAATGTGTAATAATGTGAATAAGGAAAATGCAACGCATTAGGAATAATCAAAAATTACAAGAATTTACCAAATTTCTTATTCACGTGTTTCTGATCTGTTTCTACTGATTCCTCACTTCTACAACATAATTCTCATCCAGAAATATTATGAAGGGTCTCTCCAGCGATCCCTTACCGTCACGCATTAACTGCACGTCTGCCTACCCCATCCCTGTGCTGGGTGTAAACGTCACTATAGCAGAAGCCTCACAATTCAGTCAGTGTCTGCTCCTCAGCTGACACAATCCACAACCTGCCCAAAAACTGAAACCTCTCTGTCACTTAACGCACATGGAAACAGCACACTGCAAACCAGGGGACCTGGCAAGTGGGCACATTGTCCATTCCGCCACTCTTGTTACAGGCATAGCAGCATCTGAAAAATGAGGCAGTGTAAAACGCTAGGAGCAATAATGAGTTAGATGAATCTGGAATGAATCACTGGAGATCACAAGTTTGAACCCTGAGACTGAGCCAGATCTTCAGGGAAAGATTTATCCCTTAGGATAAATCCAGCTCCTAGTGAAGCCTACAGAAGTCTTCCTGGCAATTTCAAGTGGGAATGGATTAGGCCACGTACAACTGCACCGCTGACAACCATCAGGCTAGAAGAATCATTCTTTGATATTAATCTTCCCCCTTCCCCTGGTGGAAATAAAGATCTCATGTAATAAGCCCTTCTTCTTGAGCATCTGATCATGGTTTGAACACCACCAATGCGGTGGATATCAGTGGGCATTTTAAATTTACAGAACACTGAAGAAAATGATGCTCTAGCCCCCAAGTTTATAAACCAACTAAATTAGCGTTTTGGTATTTCTTTACTATCTTCCATTTAAGGATCTTAAGTGCTTTAACAGTGGTGGAATTTAATGCTGAACTCTCTTGTGATACATTAAAGTATCACTACTACTTCACTAGCAACAGGGGAAAGTTAAGCAACACGACTAAACTCACAAAGCAAATCAGCATTAGGTCATGTTTCTGGATCCCTAGTCCCTGTCCTTAACCACAAGATAATGCACTATTCCAGTGCTCCTATTATATTTGAATTACATGTACTTGTGTCCAAGCATCAAAAGCGCTTCTACCAATCTCTAATTACTTCCCGGCACAGCAAGAAGATTTCAGGCCTGAACATTCACAGCACATAGATTATGGTATTAGCCATTCATGAGATACTAGTTGTTAACATTCCCTGACGCTTTGTATTATTTCAGTTTATAATCCCACTCTCAAATAGCATAAAGCATTACTATCTAGCTGGAAGAATTCAAAACATACCTGCAGCAAAATTACGTTGCAACTGAAGTATGCACACACATAAGGAGAAACAAGAGAGTCAGTACAGCACTTCTCAGTATTGATATTCCAAATCACGAACCAGAGATTATGACTGTTTATCACCAGGACACTCAACTCTTCATCTTAACAGCATCGTATTTTTTATTGTATAGGCAGGATGTCCAGCATCACATTCGAGCATTAGCTTTGCCATTTTCAACTGCATAGTTAATATAAAATTATTACATACAGCGGAAAGTCAAATGAGTAGATAACATACATTTATGTTACAGTGCTGTATACACACCCACATATCTATACACTACCTATATATGCGCACACAGATATATATATGCCTCTTGGAAACCCCAGAACAGGCAAGGTAAGACAAGGGAGAGAGGAGGTTATTGGTGGTTTCATGTATCAAGCAAGACAAATGTAGACTTGATGGAAGTATTCAGAGGCTGTTGTCTATCCAGGAGGAGTGAGGCAGAAGTCTTAAGGAAGGACTCAATTGACAAGTGCTTAGAGGACAGGAAAGATGCTCAGGCTACGACTACTTCTGCTTGGTATTTACTTTGAGGACTAACCATCACCTGCCAAGCTATCTGATCCACGGCATGTCTGAAAGTGCTTTTAAAATACATTGATTCTTGTTGCCAACTAATGAAACTGTTCTACAAACCAGCTTTGTTTCATTTGTTGTCATTCTTTCAAGTTATCCAACAGGTTCTGATACTCACAAGGCTCTGGTTGACAGGGCAAAGTCACCTGATGCTTTTTGACACCATCAAACAAGAGTTCTGCACCACCTCTGAAATAAAAACAATGAACGACTTGAGATTTTGCTTTATTGTCAAAAGGACGACAGTACAAAAGAGGCGATTTACATAGATGCCACAACAGAGAAAACAAATGACACAGACTATATTTAGCACAGGATTCTCTTTGTCTTTTTTTCCTCTCGCAAACCACAAGTTCGTAGGGGAAGTTGCCATCTCCCATCGCCAACATATACAGGAGGCTCCGTCGCGGGCCAGAACCCCACGGTGCCAGGCATCGTCCCAACGGAACAGGAAAATGGCTCCCGTCCCAATGCACTTACAAACCCCCGTGCAGCGTCTAGCCTAACGCCTTCCCTCTCCCTTCAGCTATCGGCTGCTTCAATTCAAACAATATTACAGCCACCACGCTATATCCACCATCACTCGTCCCTAACACCTTTTAGCCAGAAGTCTCAAGGCATTTCACAAAATGTGAAAAATCGGAGCATCCTTCTGGAATAAATATTCCCCCCCATTTCCACTTGTAAACAGAGAGAGGAAATGACTCACGCGAGGTTACACAGCAAGTCCTTGAGTCCTGGCAACCCTTTCTTGATCTACTTACTACAAAACACTCCCTCTCAGGAGGGACTTAACTGGGAGAAGCAAGTAGAGCAAGCGACAATGATGGCAAGTTAAAGTAAAAATAAATAAATAAATAAATAAATAAATACACCATCCTCCTCCACTGAACAACCTGATGATTATCCCTCTTCTGATATTCAAAACATACTGGGGAACTAGGCTCAGATAATGAAGTGATGGCCTCTGCAAGCACAAGAGATCAGGCATGAGCAAAATATGCAGAGGCTGGCAAGTACAGGAGCTGTTCCTCATGCATGACAAAAAAGCGATTTAAATTGGGTCCAGGTACCTAATCTCCTTAGGCTCTTAAAAAAAAAAAAACAAACTAATTTTTGTAACTGCAACTTACAAGCCTCAGTAAGCACCTCACCTACATCCCTTTTCCGGAAAAAGAAGAATTGTGAAAATCATGAACTTTACAAACATTATCAGTTTTCTTGATGTTGTGACACCAAAGGCCAAACTCAGAGTATTATAAAACTTTATCATGTGAGTAGGGACATGGACAACAAGCATGGATGCTACTTTAAGATACAGGACACAGAATTAGATAGTGTGAGCTCTTGACTCTCGACTGAACAGGATTGCCAAAGTTTTAACAATTAGGAAACTCTTAAAAAACTCAACTCACTTGATACTCAACTGAGGTAGAAAAATGACCAACCCGTTTTTTTGCCATATAATTGTGGCAAAATATTCTTCCAACTTAAATGTAGATTATTTTAGAAAAATTTTCTTAAAAAGTGACTTTCTGGAAACTTATTGATGCCTCGCATCCCTTGGAAACCAACAAAATAAAGACAAGTATTTAAAATTAATAATCCCCAACTAAATATCAACTAAGATACATCCACACATTACTAAGTTCCTTTAAGTTCAATATCTAAAAATGCCACGCTAGGTTTTCTTGGCTCTGCAATGGAAGAGCACAACGGAACCCTTGTTATGCCCTCAGCAGCATTACTTATATGCAGCAACTCTCCTAAAGAGCACTCTGTTGGTGTTCTTCCACCAGCTCACAAAAAATAGTTATCTGAAAATTGAAGCAGCAATTATTAACGTGAGCAGAGATTCATGCGAGAGAACAAGTCACAGCAATTATATGAAAAACATTTTTTTATGTAATGAAAACAAGGTCACGCTTTGTTACAGCGGGAAATGTAGATTGCAAGATAAGGTCCTTCTGTAATGCGCTAGCTGTGGGGAACTCAGCTGTGATTTGTACATAGAGAGCTCATTTATGCATTTCCAAGGGAAGCAAAAATGCATCTCACTCTTCTGGGAAAATTAGGAGAGCTACTGCAGCTGGAAGTGGGAAAGACTGAGGAAAGAATTCTTAAGGAGAAGGGCATTTAAAGGGTTATGACATCTCTGTGTTTGTGAAAGGGTGGGAAAAAGCAAATAAATAGCAGCCTTTTAGCTTCTGCTAAAAGGCGGCTTTAACAAAATAACACAAGTATTTCCACAAATGCGCACAGACTTCCACTGCAAACACTTTAACTTCCCAGCAACAGAGCATTAGCAATGCAGATCCTACAGCAACGAAGACCTGAAAACCAAAATGCTACAAAGCGGGAACCCGGCTATTTTACACTGAACTGAAACAACTGAAACACAAAGCAAAGTGAATGCGCGTGTACACACACATACAGACACACACATATGTATATAGACACACAGAGAAAAAAGCCGAAAAACGAGTGGAAGTTTTTTATAAATAATTTTAATAATTAAAAAAAAAAAAAAGTTAAAAAGGGAGAAAGGAAAGGACTTGTACAAGACGCTCACACATAGTCGTACCCGCGGCCACGACGCCGCCGCCGCGGTGGAGGAGGGCA